TGCCACCACCAGCAGGCTCCTCCCAGGAAGTCCTTGGCTGAGGGGGAGGGGAAGTAGAAGAGGGGATTGTTGGAAGGGAGAAATGAAAGTTGGAGGGGTAGAAGGAAGGGTGTATGTAGGATAGAAGTGTTATGAGTTGTTTATTGCTTCTTTTTTTTGCACAGTATTTAAGTGATTGTATAAAGGAAAATGAAAATGTAATAAAAGGAAGGCGGTAAAAAAAAAAAAGAAAGTGACTGAATCGTGATTACATAATCATGGGGACACCATGGCGATCACAAGTTTATGGACTGGTTACAAAACTACTTTTGCCAGGACCATTATAAATTGAGAGGACTATCTCAATTTACAACAAAGGGTTCACATTTGATAAGCCAATCCTTTTGCATCTGATAAAAATGGGAGGAGACCAAATGCATTTGTAAGTAGAAAATGAACTTTCTGAAACCTGTTTTTCACAGGACACATAGACATCTATGAACAGCCACCCAATTTATTTCCTAACTATCATTTCTGCTCAGCCAGTGAATAGCTCAAACTTTTTGTTTGTTTTCATTTGAATTAAATCTGCCAGAAATAGCCGGATGACTTTATGTTTCTCTTGCTGTATGTAGCTTGTACTGTGCAACAAACACAACTGATAAAACAGATGTGATATGGCCTTTCCATGTGTGTCACAGAGTACGGATTATTGTCATCAATTCATCCATTTTTACTAGAACTCACTGTGACCTATTAATTGGAGCATGAAGTTGCCTTTGCTGAATATGTGTTGTGTGAAGCAAATGTGTCCCCTAGGTTTTCTAGAATTTATTTGTGTTAAGTCACAAATATTCCTACAAAATTATTCTGGTCGTGATACATTTTGTTGGGTTGATTTTGTCTGTGATGAAAGGGTCAAAGGTTGGACAATTCTGCTCATGTCAATAAACATCTCGCCCATAATGCGGGAAGTAATGTAAGTTTCTCTCTTTTGACGTTAGCAGAAGATTGATAAGCAGCAGGAGGAGAGTCAATTGCTTTAATAATTACAAATGTTTTATGTAATCCTTTTAACTGCGCTATGATATTACACAGTTAACCCTGATATATTTTACTCTTAGGTTTATCTATAGCAGTGATGGCTAATCTTTTCTGGTCAAAATGCCCAAACTGTGCATGCACACGTGTGCAAGTGTGCTGTGCCAGAACCCCCAAAATGCATTGTGCACACCCTCGTGCATGTGCCCTGCCCCATGCATGCATTCACCCCCCACACACACCACACACACACCCATGCACATACACACAGGTCTCCCACACATGCATCACCCCCTGCGTATGGACAGCAGAGACCTAAAGACCAGCTAACCAGTGGGAGGCACACGTGTATGTGCGGCAGAGCCAAACTGGGGCAATAGCTCACATGCCATCAGGGAGGGTGCTGCATGCCACCTCTGGCACACATGCCATAGGTTTGCCATCACGGATCTATAGTATGATACTGGGGCCAGTCTGTATGAGCAATGAAATTGGTTGTTTCTAAATAAAAGTTTAGAGTGTTCTGCATTGTCTCAGTCTACCCCAGGTCATTGTTGCCAGACAAGATAAGTTGCACTTCAGCAGCATATTGTCAGAAAAATAGGCTTACAGCATGGAAAATTTATGTTTGCTTCAGACTCTCACCACATAATTTCTTTTCCTTTTCCCTGATCAATAGGCTAAGAGGCAAGATGTTTCATTAGAGCTGGAAGAAGGTAGAGGGATTAAAACTCCCAGCAAGTCCATCTAATTCTACAACTGCAACTCAATTTATTAGTGTAAAATACATTCAGTTTGCATTGCATTGAATTCATTTCCATGTGATCTTAGAACACAATGGGATTATATGTAGCAAATGTAAATCCTACCTTGGGGCTACTTGGAATTAGACCCTATATTTTGCCCTTGATAAGAGTCAATGTCTAATACATAAGTCAAGGTCCAAAGTAATGTCAGTGTAAAAGTGATGGAAGCATTGCAAACTTCTAACATGGAGAACAGGTTGTAATCCCAAGCAAATCAAACTTTGGAATGAAATGAATATTAGCTTAACATTCAATTGTTTTGCAGGCAAAAGCAGACCGATCTTTCTTAATGCAATTTTTCCTCAATTTCTTTCTTTAACCAACACCCTCAAGACAATTATTTTCTCAGTACAGCTCTAATGATCAAACCAATGAGCATAAATAATGGGTAGAATCAGGAGCCTCTTTGCAATAAGATATTCAAATAACACTCATTTCTTTTCTTTGCTGCTCTTTTGTTTGTGTTTTTAATTATTTTATAACAATGTTGGTCTATTATCCCAAAATGGATTGGTATAGGTTTGAAAGCTAACAGCCAAAATAATAAATACACATCTTAACCATTTTGATTTGTTGATATGTAATATACATTTGTGTGAGTGTGTGTGTGTGTGTGTGTGTGTGTGCGTGCGTGCATGCGTGCACACATATAAATGTTTATCTATTTCCTATAATTCAAGATAATCTGCATAACCTTTCACTAATATTCTCATTTATCCTTCTAACAACATGGGGTAGATGAGACTAAGAAACAATGGGTAGACCTGCAGGAGAAACAAATGGGAAAAGCTTCTCAAAAAGGATGGAACTTGCTTTAAAAAGTGCTATTGCAAATGTGGGGGAGAATAGTATACAAAACTGAATGAAGCTTTTAAAATGATACAAGACAAAGAAGGTGAAAACAGGGAAAGCAGATCAAGGAAAACACCGACAGGTAACCTAGAACTGTAGAGAGGGCACTAGGAAAGCTAAAGAGCAAGATAAATTGAAATTACAATATATGAGAAAACACACAGACAAAACAGAGGTGTGTGAATAACATGCTAATTGCTCAGTGGAATTGTGAGAGTAAGTAAGAACAAAAAGCTGCTCAATTACTATTATTATTATTTTTTAAATAATTTCCAGTGGGACAGTTGTTGTTTGCCAGATTTATATTTTAAATAGGATCAATTTTCAATGCCCAGGTGAATTGCATCCAAATATATAGAAGGAAATTGCCAAAGGTCTAGTGAACTTTTTACATATTACTTTTGAAACATATGGGAGAATTTCTGAAATGCTAGAGGAAAGAAGACAAACACTATCCTTGTTTTCCAAAAGAGAAATGGGAACAATGCACAGAACCATCACTTATTCTGATATTAAAGTGTGTGAAATGTGAGAACAGTTCATGAAGACATTATCTAGACGCTCATTGAAAGAATGCCATGATTACCAAAGATCAGCAAGGATTTGTCAAGATTCAGGTTTTTAAAAGTGTTTTATTTAAAAAAAAATAGATTGTGTTAGTGTTTAGACGTGATATGTATTGATTCAGTAAAAATACCACATGACATTCTCAATAGCAAACTAGTTCAATGCACAGTTGATGGCATGACACCTACATAGATACATTCATGGTTGAAAAATTGTTGAATATCAATGGATCTTCCACAAACTAAAGTGAGATATCTGGTAGATAGGTCAGTCTTAGGTCATGTACTCATCAACCTATTAACAGAGGTGGAAAGTTATAAATGAAGGCAGAAATAGGATTTTTAAAGTACAGTAAGGATTTTCACAATGTTGGAGCTAAAATAAATAAGGAATGCTAAGTAGATATTGCTTTAGATAATAATACATATTGATACAACATAGCCACACAGCTTTGGAGCCTATCTAAAAGTGTTGTAATTGTCTGAATGTTGGTATTAAAATGAAATACTAACAAAAATAGAAATACGAGAATACTTCAGTCTGCATACACGGTAATTACTATGTAAAACTTTCCATCTCATTCTAGTTCTTAAAGCATTTCACTCTTTCTCTGAGAGAAAATTGAAATGCAGCTTTGAAATGTACTTCTATAATTACATCAAAAGCTATTTTATTTTTATCTAAACACATAATGAGTCCCTTTGAGTTCAGTGGCACTTTTCTGAACAGACATATTTAGATTACCTCTTATTTAGATGAGAGTTTTACAAGAATCAGTATTGAAACTAATAAGAGACAATTCCTATGGACACCAAGCACTGCTGTCTTGCATTCAATTTGGAGCAAAGAGAATTCCCAGATACACAACAGAAGCTTAAACAATTCAGCAATTGTGGCCCGATCAAGATTTCAACCTATGACCTAAGAAATAAAATGCAGTTGATCTGCAATTAATTCAACTATTATACCGAGAATGATTACTAATAATACTAACTGTATTCTGCACTTTAAGAATAAAATTAATGCAATACTATAATTTCTGGTATTCCTTTGTTTCTTTACTTAATATTAGTCAATACTAAAAATCTTTGATTTCTGCCTTTCTTGTGTAGGGATTAGCAGAAAAGGCTAACTTTCCTTCTAAAGTATAAAAAAAATAAAAAATATATATTTACTAGTACCACAAGCAATTCCTACTTTCACTTGCCATCTTGCATATGGTTCAATATCCATCTTGAAATGAAGATTTTCTGTTCCTGTGAAGTTCAGAAGAGGGATTGAACATTCAACCACTGTCAGATTCAAAAATGTTGCTTTTGTGATTTCATGTTCTCTGGCTATCCATTCACCACTGCGATACTACAGGAAACAGAGCAATAAATTGTGAATTAATTATTGCAGATCTATATATACAAATATTTCAAATGATCCCTATGTATTTTAAGATAGATTGTAATTAGGGATAAAGCTGTAATAAAAAATGTGTTCAACACTGAATGCATAGTAGACATTATTAAAGTAAATAATGGATTTTAACATGATATAATCTGAATATAATAAATATAATGGAATATGATGATGTAATTCAACAGATTGTGTTACATTTGGATGTTGTATTGTGCTTCACTTTCATATGGAATGAAAGACCTACTTCATGGATGTCCATTAAAAATCTTGGTATTAAAATTTGTAAAAATTCTAATATGTAAAAATAACTTTAAGTCCTTTAGAATAAGGTTTGAAGGTATGTTTGAACCAGAGACTAGGACACATTTATATTAAAGTATCAATAGGTCTATGGACAGTGCTGGAGCAGTCCCTTTTAGATTTCTGCAGAATAAAGTATACATATAATTTGTTATGGAAAGATATTTGATTGGATTATCATTATACAGAGCCAGTTTGCTGTAGTGGCTAGAAAGTGAGATACCGTGAGTTCTACTTTTGTCTTAGGCACAAACCCAGCTTGGGCCAGTCACTCTTTCTATGCTCTAGGAAAGAGACAACAGCAAACCTCTTCTGAAATTTTGGATATAAAACTACAGGGACTAGTTCAGGCAGTCACTGGGTATCAACAAAGACTTGATAGGCACGCGCGCGCGTGCACACACACACACACACACACACACACACACACACACACCAGATTATATTAGTGGGGTCAGTGAAGTAATTATGGTGTCATTATGAAGTAATGGGATAGGACTACACAGACAATTAAGGTTTTGGAAGAAGCACTATAGCAACAGCACTTAGACTTATATACCATTTACAGTGTTTTACAGCCCTCTCTACTTTAGCACTTTACAGAGTCAGCCTATTGCCCCCCGCAATTTGGATCCTCATTTTACCCACCTCGGAAGGATGAAAGGTTGAGTCAACCTTGAGCCTGATGAGATTTGAATTGTCAAATTGCAGGAAGCCGGCAGTCAACAGAAGTAACATGCAGTTCTGCACTCTAACCACTATGCCATCCTTGTTCATATTCTCTGAACATAGTTTTATTTTGTGGACTAACTCTTGTAGGGTTTGGCATACTGTCCCTGCTTAGAGTCTATGTTTGTCTCCTAGTATCTTTTCTCATCTTTATTATTTGGCCTTCTAAATTTTTATAGCTGAGCTGTTGGTTTAGTTTGGGAAATCTGACACTATATAGCTGAGCTAGTAATTTGTTTTCCCTGGGAAAACATATGTGGGTTAGCTTGACCCCCTGAAATCTCCTTCAATCCAGTGATAAGAAACAAACATATTTATAGGGCACATATACAGTTCAGAAATTGATTCATGTTCTGGAATGGTAATTAGCAAAAAAAAAAAAAAAAAAAAAACACCATTCCCAAGGCAGGAGTAGAGCTAAACAGGGACAAGCTGTTCCCTAAAGTTCTTGCATGAATAGGTCTGGAATATATTTTCACATTTATGTAAAAATCCAAAAGGTTACTTAACATTATAAGGTTAGTTACTGAAATCTTCTTTTTAAAATAACCTTTCTGCAAAGGTCTCTGAAGGAATGTAAAACAACTAACTAAATAAAAGTGAAGCAGTGTACTATATAATACATTAACGTTTGAACAGTAAATACAGAACACAATTTAAAGCATTAAATTAAAACAATACACACATAATTATAGACGAAGGCAATTCCATAATCTGATAAAGTCTTTCCCTGCGTTTGAGGGACACAAATAAACCAACATGATATCCTTGAGAGGGCAGAGCTAAGAGGAGAAGCTGTAAAAATAAACAAAAACAAAAACCCATGGTCTTCAACTCTGACCCTGAAAACGAGCATTGCATCTTTCAACATTTTCATAAAAAGTTATTTTGACACAATGTACTGACTGAAATCTGAGTTGCCTCATTTCAAACTAATCAGTGATCTAGAGTTCTATACAGAATACACTGTAAAACAACTCTAAATAAAACATAGCCAGGGCATGGATAACTGTTGCCAGGTAGAGGACAGTTGACAAATGGTCTACTACAGAGGTGTCAAACTCAAGGCCTGCAGGCAATTTCCAGCTTGTAGGATGCTTAAATGTGACCCACTGGACTGTCCTGGAAACCATGAACCAGCCTGCAGTGCCTCTGTCAGCAAAAAATGGAGCTCAGGAGGGCTGCACGCATCCCTCCCGAGCTCCGTTTTCACAGGCAAAATGCTGGGGCCACTATCGGTGCCCCCTGACACAAGTTACATAAAGATTGCCATGCTTACCCTGGCCACACACCCCTGATGTCAAACACAACCCTGATATGGGTCTCAATGAAATCCAAGTTTGACATCCTAGTTTACTACATGTAATAGTGTAAATATATTTCTGACTACCACTTAGGGTTGAATTGCCCTATTCAAGGCAGAGTAGAATAGAGTTATAGCCTTTTATGTTCCTGGGAATCTTACCTAGGTCCTAGGCCAAGCTCCTATTTGTGGCAAGTTCTCCAACACCACTTTGCAGCAGAAGGGGAAAAATTGCTCTCAGATTTTTTTTCAAGAATCTGATAAAACAGTGTGTCTTCTATGCAGGAAAATTAAAGGAAAAAGAGATCATCCTTACCTTCCTCCTATGCTGAAAAAAGTGGGTTGGCTGTAAAAGCTTGCAATTGGTCTACTACTGACCAAAGGGCATGCAATCAAACAATATTTTCTCCTCTGTTCACAGCACCGTCAACTGAATACCATCTGACCGAAAAGATGAAAGTCACTTACTTTAACAATGTTTTCCATGACCTAACACTGCCCAGGTAGTCCAGTAAAATATCATCCCTTATTGTACAGGTGCTGTTTGCTGGATAATGAAAAATTTGACGGACTGTAGGTATTGGTCAGTGCAGTAAAGTAACTCAAGCAGTCTGAATCCCGTATCCCACTTGGAATTATCACCAAAAAAGAACCCAAATTCCAAAATAATTTGGCTCATCTGAAAATGCCTAAAATTATATTGCTACAAAATAAAACACTTTGATAATTGCTGAAATAGAAGCAATTACTCTTTTTTGTATTGCAACAGACAAAGAAAATTATACTCTGCTAGGCATTTTCTTACATCCATGCTAGAAGCCAGGTTGGATGATCAACATATATATTTTAATATTTGTAGTTTAATGGCTGTTTTGGAACAATTGGCTGTTTTGGAATAGATTCAAAAAAATACCACCAACATAGTCTGTATCTATTTATTAAGGCTGTGAAGAAAGCGATAGATTTGGAAGGGCAAAATATTCAACATGTATTTGTTCAAATGCATAACACCTGTCGGAATCGTCTTTTCCCAGGATTGTGCTACAATCCTGGGAAAAGACCCATTTGTTCCTAACAGATGCTATATGGATGCTCACCCTACCCCCCCTCAAATTATGGTTTGTTTTTGGAATCCAGATTTCTGCACAGCCCTATCATTATAATACAGGCTGTGTCCCAGGATAAATTGCCAGAAAATGGGAAGACTGCTAAACTAACTTTATACATAATGAGTTGAAAGGTGTTGGAAACAGCTGCCGGAATCAGCTGGAATAGTTTTTAGTTTGGTAATCTGTACTGTAGGAACCCTCTGTCTTCCCTTTTATTATATCATTTACTCAGAATGTTTAGCATTTTGTTCCTCAGCAACTAAAAATATAACACCAAATTTTCAACTGGAATATATATTTTAGGGGAAAAAAACTGAGCTATAATTCTTAAAGGAAAGATTGTTCTTCCATGTGTTTCCTGTAACCATGGTTTGGAACTGTCAGATATGCTGGATAACAACTATTGAAAATGTCTTTGTTACTAAACCCTTATGGCTTGATTCCATTTTATAATATTTGAAAGAATGCTGTACTCTCTAACACTATCTCCAAAAAAGTTGCTGGTGTTATATTAATGTAACTCTAAATCAGAGGTCTTCAAACTTGACAGCTTTAAGACTTGTGGACTTCAACTCCCAGAATTCTCCAGCCAGCTATGCTAGGAGTTGAAGTCCACAAGTTTTAAAGTTGACAAGTTTGGGGACCCTGCTCTAAGTGTTCATACTTTTCAATACATGGGGATCCAACCATGCTCAATGAGAAATGCACAAATAAGGGCAATGATATTTAGAGCTTTTTGTATGCCAGATACATATTTTATGGTTTTGTTTTGTAATTCAGGAGGCTACACAGTAGTTTCCACTGATGCTTCATGGAATATTCTGGATCCTTCTAGTTTCACTGAGAAAGTTCAGGACAAAATTTATATAGTTTTGAAATCATATGACTGAAAAATTCTCCCATTCATGCACTTCTAAGCCATAGATTTCTTTTTATTTAGATAATGCAAAGTGTTAGAAAACTTTGTATTATCTGATGTGATGTTTAATAACATTAATAATCCTTCAGTTCAGATGAAGACTACAGCTGTGTATCAAGAAACTTGGTTAGTTAGCTGTGACACTTAAAATTCAAGTGTCTTTGGAAATACAGTCATGCGTATAGATTCCAGATGCACAAAATTGAGAAGTAATAATAATGTGATTTCAAGCTTCAGTGAACTATAGTAGAAGTGGGATAAAAGCCCACAGAAAAATGGAAGATGCTGCATGGTTTTGATTTACTTATAAACTAATCTCTGAAGTGCTCTGAGACCAACTGTATAAAATGTGTGTACAGAAAGAGAACTTTTACTTTTAGAACCCATAATTTTAGCTAATCTCTATACATATCTATGCTGGAAGATAAACCAATCAGTAAAACAAGGAATGTAAAACAAATCCATCATAGATTTCTTTTAGCTGTAATTACCATAGCCCACTAGAATAAATTCTACCATTGCACATCAGCAGTAATTAATGGAGTTTGCTGCCAAGTTTTGTCAACCCCCCAAAATTTCTAAATATAAATATATTTAGAAAAAAATAATGTATCAAGCATGTATCTTGAACTTTATAGAAAACATTTTATTTAACGTATTAAAAGAAATGTATAGAATAAATACATAGAGTACATTAAAATATGGAGCAATTATGTGTAAGTCAAATAGAAAAAAATATTTGAATTATGTAAATTATTTTAACATGCATATGATAACACTGGTGATTTACAGGACTTTAAAAAAGAATCCAGAGAAATTACATGCACTAAAATAGCATTTGAGCACCATTTGAGATTGCTCAGATTTGTCTAATTAACATGCTATTAACTAGGGATGTATATATAAAAGGTGACATATAAAATACATTTTAAAAAGTAGTCATTTAGATATTGTTCTGCATTACTTCCATTGTTTCAATTCATGAAATGCATGTATTCTTGATTTTGTACAGAGTTTGGAAATAAGACTGGGAAAAAGCACATTTATTTAATCCCACCTTTATTATTTTTATAAGTAACTCAAGGTGGTGAACATATCCAGTACTTCTTCCTTTTCCTATTTTCCCCACAACAACAACCAGTTGGGCTAAGGGAGAATGACTGGCTCAAGGTCACTCTGCTTTCATTCCTAAGGCAGGCCTAGAACTTATAGTCTTCAGGTTTCTAGCCTCGTCCCTTAATTTTTAGACCAAACTGGCTCTCTTGCTCTCTAATATGTGACTTTACTTTCAAAAAATCTTTATCCCAAATAAAATAAGTCTAGATTTAAGATTATTCCCAGCTTCAGCGCCCAAAGAAAAATAGCTAAAAAATGATAAACATTGAAAAAAATAGGTTTTTGTTTATTATTCATATTTTATCAATCTCAGGCTGCCAAAACTAACCTTGGATATAGATTCTTAGTCCCAACATTCAAAGCAGTGTCTAAATATATCATATAAGAATGAATAATTGTAAGTAAACCCGAATTCATTATAAGGTATTCCATTTATCAAATTATGATTCCCCATCTACATACATACATACATACATACATACATACATACATACACACACACACACACACACACACACACACACACACACACACACACACACCTTCTCCTCTTTCCTAAAAGAAGCTGGGAAAAGAAAGGAAAGGCTAGAAACAGAGAAGAAAGAAAATACAATTACCTTGGAAAGAGAAAAAAAGAAATTAACCTGAATAGAGATGAGGAGAAGGGAACAAGTAACTTGAAAGAAAGGAAAGTCCTGATTAAGAATTAACCACCACCACCACCCAAAAAACCATCAGCATCTCCCAAATAATTGATAGCTGGTAATATTCAAAGACATATACTATATGTTAATGTCTGCAACCAACTGTGCTTGAACACATTAATTGTCAATCTTCTTCCTCGACAAAATAAGAAGACTCTACATTCCTACATCTGCCACTCAAAAGTATTTACTTGGTGGGGCGGATAACCTTTCTATCTGATAACCATTCAATTACCTAGCTGAACTTTCTTGAAACTGAATGTTTTGTCAATCATGACTCTCCTCCTCAGAGAGTTTATTGAATTCAAGAAACTTTCTGATGAATATTTCATTCTTTTCGTGGTCTCATATTAAACTACTTACAGTCAGTCTGGTGACTTCACAGTGAAGATCAGGAGAATCATTAAAACCAACTCCATACACTTGGATGTTGCTACAGTTGGAAAATCTTACATCACAGAAGCCTTCATTGAGTAGACTGGTAATCTCCACAGAATGCTCTGGTATGGAAATAAAGATGTGATAATCAACTGATTATTTATTTGTATTTAGTTACTTACTGCATTTTTTTACTGCAGCATTTGGTCAGATTTCTGATGGGTCACAATTCAAATCAAGTGAAAAATGAACGGAAATATAAGAAATATTATTATGATGTTCAAAACACTAACTATCTAAAACCTGAATTGCTGCTCAAAAATAATTGTTATAGCAATAGCATTTAGACTTATATTCTGTTTCACAGTGCTTCAGAGCTGTCTCTAAGTGGTTTACAGAGTCAGAATATTGCCCCAACAATCTGGGTCCTCATTTTACCGACCTCAGAAGAATGGAGGGATAAATCAACTGTGAGTCTGGTCCGATTCGATCTGCCTGTGATCAGCAGAAGCAGCTGCAGTACTGCACTTTAACCATTGCACCACTCTGCGATTATAGCTAACTTGCGGAAAGATAAAAGGAAGGATAAACCATGAAAGGAAAGCATTCCAGACCATGGAGACTGCTCCAGAGAAGAACTGTTTTGGGGCTCACACATTTTATTATTCATGCAAGGATAGGATTCCCAGCAACTGCTCTTCACATGAGAAGATAAACCAGGTAGATTTCATCTAGAGAAGAAGGCTTCTAAGGTATTATAGCTTTCAATTTCAACCAAGATTTTGAAATGGACCCAGAAGCATATTGATAACCATTGCAATGATCAAAGGGTTGTACAACATTAAAATAGTGATTCTACCTATTAGTAACCTATCCACTGCATTTTGTAGCAATTGAAGCTTCCAAATCATTTTCCAAGGGAGTTCCAAGTAGAGTATATCAGTCATGTGATGATATGTGCTTGAATCACTGTTGCCAAGGATATCCTAATCCAAGTATATTTGCAACTAGCACACCAATGTCAGTTGGTCAAAGACTCTTCTGGCCACCACTTCCATATTGTCTAGTAAGAGCCAAAAATGCATCAGGATCGTCTAGTTGCAGATCAGTCCTTTAAGAAAGTGATTCTATCTAGAATTAATATATACAGTATGTGTACAAGTACATACATCTAAGTTTTTATTTTATTAAAAAGAACCCTTTTATGTACAAGCTTTACTTGCAGGACTTTATTGTCTAAAATACTAGCTTTTGCCTTCCTGTGTCAAAAAGTTAAGTGCCAATCTTACATAGCAATTTCCGAGAAAAAGCAAAATGAAAAACAGACATTGAAAACATGAACTGGCATTGTTCTTACATTTTATGTAGCAACCAAAGCCATCTGCTCAGGAAAGTGTTTCTCATTACAGTGTGTGTTGTTAAATTCATAAGATTATGTTGTTCAAGGCTGATTAGGGACTAATGAAAACACTTTTTATATTTAGTCTATTCAATGGTCTTGCCAATACGGTGATTCCATAAGTATATAAATGTGGAATAATGTGTCTGGAACACTAGACTATATTTCTATTTCTGGAAATATTCGTTGAAAGTTACTTCATGAACTATCAATTTTAACTTTATAGACCTACTTGCAAATTACCACAGATATTAACATTAGCAAAATTTGTGAGAATTCTGCCAAGAAACATCATTCTACGCAGTATGCAACATTATATTATTCTGATGTCTAATCACTCTGTAGTAAATAAGCAGGGCATAAGAGACAGGTTGTTTTAGTGGTTAAGCCGCCAGACTTGAAGACAGGAAATAATGAGTTCTAGTTCTGCTTTATGCAGAAAACCAACTGGGGGACTTTGGCCCAGTCACTCTCTTTCAGCCCAAAATGTTGTTGTGAGAAAAACAAGAGGAAGGAATATTAAGTATGTTCGTCACCAACTATCTATAGCCATGATAGCGAACCTATGGCACCAATTCCTGAACTTCTGGTTTGCGCGTTGGGCCATTTTTCTCCCTCCGGAGGCTTCAGAAGGTTTCTGAAAGCTTCTGGAGCGTGGGAAGGGTAAAAATAGGTCCACCATGCCATCGTGCAGCAAAAGCAGGAGGAACAAGGGGGGAAAGTGCACACATGTGCAGGGAGAGGGCACATGTGCACACAACCCCCCGCTCTCCCCCCACTTTTGGCACACAATGGCCAAAAAGGTTAGCCATCACTGATCTATAGCAGGGATCTCAAACTTGCCAAGTCACATTGCCATCATGTGATTTTTTGCGATGCTTTTCCCAGTCACAGACCTGGGGTGGGTGTGGCATGCCCATGATAGGCCATTAGTTCGATACCCCTGATCTATAGCATACGAGGTCCAGATGTATACAGTTTTCAAATTACTACAAAATTATTTTAGAAAATGGAAAATGTCACATGAAATAGTTAACCAAGTACAGATCAAAAACAACATAAAACATAGGAAACACCTTGTTTTTTTTTCTTACAAGAATTGTACAGCTCTTAAGCTGTATTTCTATACCACCTGTTCTGAAAATCATCTCAAGTACTTTCTATGGAAAAGATTCTAACCTCTGTCACAAGAATTATCTTAAAGAGCAAGGCAAGGTCTTTTTCTGATATCTTGGGAATCTGCTACTTATAAAATGGTATAGCTAATATTGTCTATTCAAGCAGATTACTTTAGCTTTATATAGTGTATAAACAGTTCCAGACTTTGGAACAGATACCCGCAACCAGCTAAGTAATTATTAAAGCAGCTACTATACTTTTATGTCTGCCACATAAGTAGGAACAAAGCTCCCACATCATTAGTGTGATCTATGATTGGGAATTCAGAAGATCTGATGCAAACTTCCAAGTGTGTGAGGATGGGTTAAAATGTTGGAAGGAATGATTTATGGAGTATAATTTGTTTCATTGGAATTTATTGAATAATAACAATAAAAATAAATATGGCTCTGCAAGCACTGAATTAGGGTAGGAAATACTCTGTTGAATCATAGCAGTTTGTTGTACTCAGTTACTAATGAATGAGATATTTAATCGATCATGAATTTCTTTGTTCCTGAACATTATTTTAGTCTATCATATAACATTTAAATTACTACAATAACATTGCTTTGAGTGAACTGTGATTCTTTTTCCTTTCCTTTTCTAAAAAGCAGGGAAATTGAAATTGGAAGCAAGCATGGGAAAATGCCCAAATTTCTTTTCCTAGGCTATAAAATCAACCTGTAATTTGCTGCTACCTTTGGAGTCATTTTGCTATTTTATTATTTCTTTATCAAAGTCTGAAACTGCCCATTGCCTTCACAGAGGAATGTTGTGATTATACAACAGTTTGGCTATTGCAAGCACACAAAATCATACTACACACTGATTTGAGTGAAAGCATCAAGAAGTGTCTAAGGGAGAGCGGGAGGGATGACAACAATCACTAGCCAATAGCATAAAAAGGATTATGGGAAGAATCCCAACAACTACTGGAATAGAAAGCAGCTTGTATCCCTTGCCCATTTCAGATACTTGTATCTAATGAAGCAATATTTGCAAACATCACGATGAAGATAAGGCCATAAAATGATGTTCTTTGTGTGATACCAAGATAAATAGACTTCTAAAAAGTGACTAAAACAAACTGAAAAAAGTCACTACACAAATATTCCAGATAATGAGAGTATGATTTTACCTTTATAAATCTAGTTCATGAATATAAATATTGATCAAGATGTTTGACAAAAGAATATTTTGTATGATTAGGGTGAAAATATCTTTATCACAAATTGTTCATAAATAACTATGAACCATGAGGCATGAACACTTGAATATATATTTGATTAGGAAAAGTATTAAAATTAATGCTGAAATCAATTCAGCTGTTGAAAATGGACAGCTCTTCCTTTCTTACTATTGGACCACATAGCCTTAAAAAAAAAGCTCAAACCAAATGTAGAAATGTTAGTGACTCAAACGTGCACCTTAATCTATTTTTGTAAATTTTTAACAATTATGTGAAAGATTAGTAAAAAGAAAGAAATTCACTTTTCTGTCTAAAAAATTTGTAAAAAAAAGATGCTATTTAAGATTTTAGGAACATGAATATCTTCAGGGAAGTTTCGTGATGTTTCAAAATACTGAATGTTGCCAGTAGTTCTTAAACTCGTGGTTTTAGTAAAATAGAGATTCTAAAACAGATTTTTTCATACAGAGCAATTCTTCACAACAGCAGCTAGATTCATATGATTTTTCAAATACCCCTATTCATTTGAAAGTTAACTTTAATGTGCAATCTTTTCCATTTACTTAAAAAATGGGGCATCTATGGAATATTTGGGATTTTAAAAGAAAAGGTGCTTCAAAATACAAGGGCACTCATATAATACCTATTGGGAACTACTAAAATAGCTTTATCTTTTTGTGTGGTTGTCTGTGAAGCTATAGTGTATAGTGCACTCTGTGTTTGTGTGTGTGTGTGTGAGTGTGTTATGTATATGCACAGAGAGAAACATATTATTCAATGCCAAAAGATCCAAATATCAAACTACAAATATAATTAAGATTTTGAAACATTTTAACTTATTGATATGAACAAAAGACTTCATTTTTATAGCCATATTTAAAAATAGACCTGATACTGCTGCAATTTTAGGATTTTTTTTAAAAAAATCTGCAAGTCAAATGTTAACATGTTCAGAAATATCTCTTCCTAGTCTTGATTTTAAATTAGGTCAGATAATATCCTGCCAAAAATGCTTGTAAAATTTGCAGTACAATAAAGTGTGACCCACTGTTTCAAGGTCAATACCATTGCAGGAACAAAAGGTTTGAGAGATGGAGCCTATGAAGCTTTAGCGGGATCTATGAAAGGCTGCTTTAAGGAGTTCCCAGCAGGTGTCATCAGCATCCCTGGGCTTTCTACGAAACATTCTCTCCCTTTAGATCTGAAGAGCTCCACAGTCCTATTGTTTTATGCTTCAAAAGTGACTCCTATATGTTGCCTAGCACATTTAGCATTGCAATTTCATTCATTTATTTTAAAAGAGCAGCAATTGTCCTCGACGTACAGCCACAATTGAGCCCAACATTTCTATTGCTAAGCAAGACAGTTATTAA